TGGGAGAACTTGCACAATTGGTGGCTGACTAAATACTTTTTTGCCCCACTGTATGTGAACTTGAACTCTCAGAATTTGCCAGCCAGCATGGCCCTTCCTGAGAATTAAGGAATTACAGTTCACATATTTGAAGGTCACCCAATCTGGGAACAGCTGTATTAGTCTATGACAGACCAAGAGACAGGGCTTTGCTTGATAACCTAAATCTTAGACAATACACATGAATCCTGGAGGCAAACATGGTGAACTAATAAGTATATGTAAGGCATATAATTACAAAGCCATACAGGACAAAGCCATACTGTATTGATTGAAGTAGTGTTATAGACTATGACAGGTACAGTCATTCTATGAGAAGATTATGACAGACACCTGGATTTCAGTTCCTAATACCTCTACTTGCCATACTCAGCTTCAAGGAACTGTGGAAATAAAACATGTAAAGAAGACCAAGTTGCCTATCCTTGGTCTAAATTCTTAGTGTGCAGTGAATCAAGTGACTCAACTGTATGCTTGCATCATGATGGATAGGTCATTTCTTTCAGCTGCCCCCTCATGAATGCCTATGATAATTTCCTTTGCTGTGTCAAAGAACAAGGAATGCAGCTCAAAGCACCAACAATGATAAGAAGACCTATGGTCCAGCTAACATTATTGATGTAGAACAAAATGTATGCATTTATTACTATTATGGCCCAACTTTCTTTCTCATTGATGGGATATTGTTGAAAAAGCTATTCACAGGAAAACAGGTAAAATGCAGAACATTCTGCAGAACAAAGAAGTTTGGAATACTATCCTATTTTTTAAAACAGTGTTTAACATCTACTACCGTTTCTTTCATTTTAGGATTTTCTATCCCTGTCCTTAGTTTCTCCAGTTGGATGAGAAACTAAGCAAACTATTGTTTGCCATTTTCAAACAATATTCCATCCAAGCGGAATATAAAAGGTAACAACTCCTTTAAGACAAGCTCATCTCCTGTGGACACATCCAGTGTTATGTATTTATCTTTTGGCAACAATGAAATGGCTTGCCCTTACCTTGATGTGAGATTTTTTTAAAAACCATTCTCTAGCCTAGTCAAGAGCCCTAGGATTTCCTGGTAGTGTCCCATCTTGAGTCCTAACCAGAACCAACTCTCCTTGGCTATTCAGAATCAGCCAAAGTCAGCTAGGTGAGGCCACCTAGGTGGCCATAAAATAGGCAACTCTTAGTCAATCAGAAAACTGATTTTCAGAAACCCAGAAATGTCAAGTCTCAATGCACTGACCAAAGAGGCAGTTTTGCAGATATGCAATATCTGTAGGCCAAAGTAGCATCTTTTGAACTGTTTCCAGAAATCTGTCTGATGTGCTGGCTTCATCTGCTTCTCATTTCATAGGGAGGAAGATCACTAAGTTCTTTCTCAGCTACAAAATCTAAACTTTGAAAGGAAACCTGGAAAGGAAGACTGCTATACATGATTTTGGATGGCAGCAACTTGGGGGTTATGGAAAAAAAGTTACTTAATCTGTTTGCAAGAAAGTTTGGTTAAAAAAAGAAAAACGCTAACTCGGGTAACTGCTATAACAATCCAAGTAGACTCACTTCTGAAACAGGACAAAGACCATCTCTCTTGAGATTCACTGCTGCTACTGCTACTGACATCATTCTCTTGTATCATGCACTCCCTCCTATTCAGCACCTCTTCCCTGTCTTCTCATTGGCAGCCCTATAGACGTAATCTGAGCATCACCTCAAAGCACTGCCTACTGACTGGCCAAGATACAAAAAGCTTCTTCAGACAGCCACATACTGTATCTTAGTATAAAGAAGTTGCTGCTGAAATGGAAACTTGGGAGAGCAATTACCTGCAGAACAATGATTTCCCTGTTACTGATACATACTGAACTGAACTTGGAATTAGTCTCCTCCACCCAGTGGTAGATTTCTAACACATATTTAAACATGCAAACTTCAGCTGAGTGGAGTGTCTTCAACACTCATACAAACAAGTAGGGCTAGAGAGTATTACTATAGCGCCCAGTTAAATGAGATTGCAAATTCAAGATTAACCAATTACCTTTCTTATAGGGAGAATTTCATAATGTATCCTGATAGCTAAGACTGCCCCTTTTCTGACTGCATTCTATATACTTTCAACGCTTCTGGATGAGACAGAGGATAATAATATGCATTATAGCAACTTTCCTAACTTAGAACTTTCCCTTTATATTGGAACTGCAGTCTCTAAAAGGCAAGCATAGAGTTCCGGAAATTGCAGTTCCAACATGCTGGTGGATGGCAGCTTAGGGAAGGTTGGTTTTGGGAATTAAATGGAAGGAAAACACATTGATTTATTTCATTCTCCCTCCAGGCCATGCAGTTCTGTTGGCAGTTTAGCAACTGGAAGTGAATCATCCAAACTGGATCATCTAAACGGGAAGTGGTTTGAAGTAGATAGGGGGTTACAACCCCAAAACAGGCTTGTTTCATCCAGAATTCCAAATCTGAGACAACTCAGGTCTCTTCCAATTTACTCTCAGAAACTGCTGAAGCACTTTAGGAATGGGTTGGTCCAAAAATGGTTTAGCATAGTCTCAATGAACATTCTAGAGTTCTCCAGAATGCTCCATTCCCCCCCAGTCTCCACCGAGTATTTTAAATAATAGAAATACTATCAGGGACCATAAGAAAAAAATAATGCATTATTAAAGCAGCAAAGCTGGTGCATTGTTCAAGAGGTTTGCAGTACATCATATCAGTTCATTTTCCTTTACTATAATAATATAAAAGTATGATATAAATATATATTTATATTTAATAAGAAATATAAATCAGAAAAAAACCTTACCAGTTGTTACTAGATATTTATCGGGGATTGTGATATCACAAACATAAGGCTGTCTAGTTGTGGTAGTTGAAATGGTTGCCACTGTAACCTGTGTAGGGACCAAGATAGAGGTTGAAGAGGATGTAGATGGGCTTGATGTACTGCTGGTAATTGAAGAAAGGCCTATTTTGCTACTAGAAGTGGCAGCAGTAAAGGCTGTCACACTAATATGCTCAGTCATGCTAGTTTTTGTTAGAACTCCAGATTCAACTGAAGTATTCACAGATGAAGACATCACTGTGTGTTCAGATGGCGTCACTACAACCATTGGTCTGGTAGGTGAAATTACGATGCTGTTCATATCTGTGGACAATGGCATATAAGGGGCAGTTTTAAAAAAATCTGTGGTAGAAGCTACCTCAGTGAAAGAAAAAAATGAATTAGCAGTAGCACCACTATCTTCAACAGTAGCTGTAGTCAACAAAAAAGGTGAAAATGTTAAGACAGGGGTTGACTGCAATGATGTGAACCATGAGCTCACATGTGTTTCATCCCCAAAGGTGTTGCTGGTGAAAACAGGCTCTGAAGCTGACACAGGTAGCTGCTGGGTTAAGATGGTATCAATAGTGAAATAAGACTCAGAGTGAGAGGTAGCTTCTGTGAAAGCTGAGGTAAAATAAAATTCAGATTCTACCATCAAGATTGACGTTGGTTCTAGTAACACCGAGGAGTTCATATAGAAATGTGATGATGGTATCACTGTAGAACTGTGCATGACTGGAAAAGAAGATGAGCTTGAATTAAAAAATGAAGTCGGCCATGAAGATACTTGAGAAGCCTCCATACTTGTGATGTCAATAGCTGGTTGCTCACCTGAACTCCAACCAGATGAATTGCCAAAAAGCACAGATGATGGAAGGAGTGTGGGTAAAGTATGAGGTAAAAATGTTGATAAATCACTTGGCATTGCTAGAAAAGATGTGGCTGTAGCAGATGATAAATGTGACAAGTCATTTGGCTCAGAGGAAAAGGGTATGAATGAAAGGCTGGATACAATGTCTGATCTACTGATAGCTGAGTCTTCTATGGCAAAGTACTCTACTGTTGTGCCAAATAAATGTGCAGTTTCTGATGGCATAAATTCAGATGTTTCTAGCAGAATTGAATTTCTGATTGTCATGGATGGTACACTCACACTCTCCATGAAGGCAGATTCTGGGGAAATTGTAGCAACTTTAGAAGATAATTTTTCCATAATACTAGATTCTACTGTAACTAATTCAGATACAGAATAGGAGAAATTAACCAGAGTGTTTTCCAATGATATAATTTCAGAAGACTGGCTATAGTAAAAGGAAGGGGAAGTGGATGTAAATATATTTTTAAGGCTAATTTCCATAGAAGTTGACTCAGAGACTTCAGTAAATCTTGAAGAAAGTGAAACCACAGGTCTCGAGGGAAAACTAGTATCAAAGATTTCAGGAGGAGGTTCTGGCATGTCATAGAGATCACTAATGCCTGATGTAAGTGGTACAATACCCTTTACATCAGAGACCATGAATGAGAGCGTCTCACCATACTCGCCTGACCCCACATCGTTTTCTGTTGGTCGCACTGAAAAAAACGGTTCTGAAGGAACTGAGATGAAGTCACAGTACAAACATGAAGCATATGGTTCAGTGAAAGGCACTGGACTTTTGAAATCGCCAAGCTGGTTTTCTGGATAGCTAGGCAAAATTGATGCTGAATTTCTGGAGAATTTCTGGGAAAGCTCATGTGTAAAAAACTTCTCATTAAAAAGAGTATTGAAAGCAGTTGCATCTGTGTGGGGAATGGTATGGGGAAAAATAAAAGGAAAGTGAGTTGAAAACACAGTTGCCCCTGTTAATGAAATAGGAATTTCTTTAAAAATGCTTAGGACAGATGAACTTTTTGGACTGAGTGTTCCAGTTAAACTGCTATTAATACTGTAGTGAGCTTCAGCGTACGTGTAAGTGCTCTGTGTACTGTCATACACAGGTGACTGTTCTATAGTAGTATCAAAAAGCAAAGAAGTTGAAGAGAAAAGATAAGATGGCAAGCTCTCCCTTTCTTTTCCGATAGTTGTATCTACCGTTTCTAATGCAACAGAATTTAAGTCAGTCTGAGGCATGAGCAAGTCTCTGTCTGGAGTTAGAGTAATACTTGTCCCATCAAAAGACTTCAAGTGCGGGAGAGAAATATGGGGGACAGAGGCAGCCCTTTGCAATATTGTTTGCAGTGTTCCCACATAATTAAGTGGCAAGGAGGGGACAGCTAACGAAGGTGCTAATAACAAAGTTTGTAGTGTTTCTTTAGTTGGCTTTACTGGGTAGGAACCCAAATGATCGTCTTCTACAAAAGACTTCAATGAAGGAATCTGTTGTGCATTTGAAATTAAACTAATAAATCTATCGTCACTTAAGATGGCTTCATTGCTTGTTACTGAAAAATCCAGTGCTGGTCCATTTTGTTGAACTGAGGCTCTGTTCCTCCCTTCTTGGTCCAGTGAGGTCATTTCAAAAGGAGTGGTTACTGGTGATGACAACTCAGGAAACACTGTATTTGCCTTGGAATCTCTTGTGCTTTCAATTAAGGCTTTGTGTGTCATGTTGCCCACAGTGCTTTCACTCAGCAAAAGAGAAGAAATGTTCTGCTGCTCCAAATAGATGTCATCTAAAAAGAAGAAAGAAAACAAAGTGCTAATAATTAGGTTAAATTAAGTGGGTATTATCACACTGAAGTGTCAAAATGCTACAATGATTCACTGACCCAATAGCTGTCTATGCAGAAATTATACGCATATGGAATAAGCCTCAAAATAAGCTGCTTCCAAGGCTATAATTTTCATGGAATCTTTTTGTCAAAGGTTAAAGGAGCTCTTGAATCCACAGAGTCCCATATGATAGAGTACACTCTAAGGCCCACAGTCAGTTGACAAGAAGCACTGGTCAGATCTTCTGATCAGCACTGCTCTCCCACATGAGCTGAAGATGCAGTTATAATATGTGAGCTTCACTAGTCCTGGAGCTAGGCTTATACTCCATTCCACATGTTTCTCCACCCAGTCCCTGCTTCCCCAAGTAAAAATATTCTAAGGAAATGGAGAGGATACCAGAAGATGGAAGCATGGGAGCTAATCAACATACTGCTTCCATATGAATTTTGGAATTATATTTCTGTATGTTTTTACAGCAACATGTATAATATTATTAAAATATTTTAGGAGAAAATTCCAAACCCATAAAAGAAGTAGTCTCATTTGCATAATCCACATTCAACACATTGTTTTTCCTTTCTAGCTTCAAGTTATTTATTGGCCTAATGAGTGAAGAAAATGTAGAAATGCAAATATCCCAAATGCTGTGGGATTTCTTCCTTCAGATAGTGTGATGGAATGTAATTATGAAGGTCAGACTCAGGGACGGAAGCATCCTCTTTCGTCTCCTGAAGGGCGGGGAAGAGATAAGAGGATGAGGCTGGCAGCTCCCTGAGGAATTCACTCTGTGTTGACTGGCTGACCCTGGGAATTGGTTTCAGTCTGGAAAGATTCTTGATAGAGGTCGTAGCTAATAAAAATTGCTGAACTGAATCTGCGTGGTCTCCTGGAGTTCCTTGGGCTAGGCCTGATAGATAGTGAGATCTCAGGACTAGACACATGACAGTCCCTAAAAAGTATTTCCCAGATCCTGAGGAACTGGAGGACTATTAGTCATTTTCTGTTTGCATGATGGTCTCCAATTTGGTCTTTAACTCAACCTGCTTTGTTTGGCTAAGAACTGGAACTAACAATTCAACTGATCAATATTGTACCTGCTCAATTTATTAATTTCATGTTCTATAGTGGAATCGGTCCCCCTTCCCCAATTATTCTCTCTCCCACATGACAAATGACAGTGGAGGATAACAAGTCACTAATTTTCAAACTGGTTTTTAAGGAAGACAGAGATTTCCTGGAAGTTTAGGAAAGGTTCTTAAATAAGAAGATAAAAGATCAGAAGACATACTTCCCTGAAAAACAGTTCTACTACTATTGATTTTTGTCCTGGAAAAAATAAGGTCTGGGTGGAACAGTTGGATTTGTTCAAAGGCGCACCCTGAATTCATTTGGAGTAAAGAAGCCTGACAAACCAGAAATGTATTGGATTCTTCAGCAAATAAATCTGTATGGAAAAGCTTCCCTAGAGGTAGCCATTTATTTACTTAAGGACAGAATCAGAACGGGAAAACTGTATCATATACTCCAAGTTATATGGAACCTCTCCTCAGTTAAGACCTCTGCTGGGAAAGGAATGAACATGCTATCTCATCATGAAAAGAGTCAAATATTAGGTCCATTTTTAATACAAATACAATCCATATACATTTTGCCTCTTTCATACAGTAAATCCTAAAGGATCTTTTGTACTTTTTTGTTTCATTTTAATTCTCTGTAGCTGTTTCTTGACTAGTATTCATAGTAGAATTAAGGAAATAAAAAGTATGTTCCTTGTCCTCATGAGAAATTTATACAGTATATAGATAGGAAACTGCAGTCAGGACAGAACATAGCGAAACAGACTGGCTCCAGGTTGGCAAAGGAGTGCGACAGGACTGTATACTCTCCCCTTATTTATTCAACCTATATGCTAAATATATATATTAAGGGAAGCTGGATTGGAAAAATATGACTGTGGTTTTAAAACTGGAGGAAGAAACATCAGTAACCTGTGCTATGGTGATGATACTACCATAATAGCTGAAAATGCAAAGGATGTGCAAGCCCTAGTAATAAAAGGAGCAAAGTGAACAAATGGACTTAAACTAAATATAAAGAAGACTAAACAAATGACAACAGATAGAACAACCAACCTTTGAATTGATAATTAAGATACTGAAGTGATGGATAGCTTCTGCATTTTAGGCTCAACCATCAACAGTAAAGGAACAAGCAGTCAAAAAATATGCTGCAGACTAGCAGTTGGCAAAGCAATCACAAAGGCCTTGGAAAAGATATTCAAATACCATGATATAAACACAAGCACTATAAGCAGGGAATGACCTTGGGAGACAGAAGGAAGACCTAGGCATGGGAAGTGTTTCAGAGGGGACCCTCCCTAGTTTTCTGGAGACTAAGAAGAGAGAAGGGGAGAAATACTTTCAGTCTTGCAAGATTCTGTTTAATGTAACCTTACAAGAAAGATAGCGCTGACACTCCTGGTAGTGCTTCTTGTCTGGACTACCTTGAAGGGTTAACACCATTATACCACACTGGAACTTTATGATAAGTTTTCACCAATTTGCCTAAAAGAGTCAGGTTCAGCCCAAAGAACTCCACGAGACAATGCAAATACAGTTCTGTTGCGTTTATTAGCTTCCACCTCA